CTATAACTATAATTATAACTATAACTATATATATATATATATATATATATATATATATATATATATATATATATATATATATATATATATATATATATATATATATATATATATATATATATATATATATATATATATATATATATATATATATATATATATATATATATATATATATATATATATATATATATATATATATATATATATATATATATATATATATATATATATAGGGGTGTTCAAAACCAAACCGGCCCAATAGAAAACCGCAAAACCAAACCGAACTAAACCGAAACCACAAAAAACCGCATTTGGTTTGGATGTGTTTGGGTCATTTTCTCGCGGAACCGCACGGTTCGGTTTAGTTTGTGGTTTGTATTTTACAAACCGAACCAAACCAAACAAAACCGCACTATATTATAAAATCTTACTAACTAATATATATTTCTTTAATTATTTAGAGAAATAAACATGTATTATGTGTATGTTTTATCATACTTTGTATTATATTCATTTTAATTTACAAATTATAAAAAAATAAAATATTATTCATTTATAAATACTATTTTCACAAAATATATTTTATCGTATTCTTTGTATAATATTTATTTAAGAATGCAATCTTGTTTATATCATTCTTTAGATTTAGATAAAATTATAATACGCAATTTTATGTATCAAATTATAAACTTATTTTGACAATTATAAATTTTTCTATGGTAATGTACGAATAATTAAACACAAAATTATATTTTCCTCTATATTTGTTTGTATGATTTAAAAATTTTTTTTGTAAAAAATCGAACCAACCGAACCAATCCAAACCGCATTAGTTTGGTTTGGTTTGGTTCGGATTTACTTTTAAAAGCCAACCGAACCAAACCGAACCACATGTTTTTTCTCTTGCGGTTCGGGTGATTTTTTGCTTCAAAACCGCCCAAACCGCACCGCGAACACCCCTATATATATATATATATATATATATATATATATATATATATATATATATATATATATATATATATATATATATATATATATATATATATATATATATAAACAATTAGAATTAGAAATCAATTAGGATTTAAATATAAAAAAAGGGATTATCGTGAATTTGATGATCAATATTTTGACTGTATAGCACGGGTAATAAAATCTTCCACACTCTCTTTTATTCCATTCGGGTTTGATGCATATGTAATCCTTTTTTTCATCCCTTCCCACTTCAAATCAATGGAAGAACAATAGAACAACAAGACATCTCTGAATCAGAGGCCGTCGGTGATTTTCTGAGACGTTGACATCGTTATTAATATCGATTTGGGAGTGTGTTGATTAGAGGATGATGGTGGCGACGATGACAATCTCACCATCGTGAGGGAAGAAGAAACAAGCGATAGAGAAAAAGACGAAGACAATCACATTTGTTATGAAGAAGTAACCGCCGTAGAATATGGACGACAGTTTTGAAAATGTGAAAAGTGGAAAAAAACGGTTGTCTTGGATATTTGGATGGGCAACGAAAAGAAGAGGGATAGAATGACTTTATATATATATATATATATATATATATATATATATATATATATATATATATATATATATATATATATATATATATATATATATATATATATATATATATATATGGTTTTATTTGTAAAATATTAAAACAACTTAATTTATCTAATACAAATTTCAATAATTTTTTAATTATTATTCTTAATTTTTTTCTTCAATTTCCTATTTTGTTACCGTATGCAAACTAATACGTATTCAAAACTATAATGAATCAATATAATTTTAATAAACGGAAATAACTTTAGTACTAATTCAATTTTATTACGGGCAAAATGAAAATTAATATTTATATATACTATATTATTAGTTCATATTTATATAATTAAATCATTGTGAGACAATAAAATTTTAGTAAATGAAATTAGTTTTACAGCTAATCCAACTTTATTATGGGCAAAATGAAAATTAATATTTATAAATACTATGTTATTTGTTTATATTTATAAAATTAAATAATTACATAAATATTTTTATAAATAATATCAAAACAAAATTAGTATTTACATACAAAAATATATATAGTTGATCCAAATATTTATATATATGAAAAGATTATATTTATACTTTAAATATAATTAAAAAAAAATTAAAATAATAAATTTTCTTGATTAAATAATTTTGCCTTTCTGTTTTTCTTATTGTTATACATTTTAGAAACAAATATATACGTGTAACACATCAGTACGCGAACGGATATCCGGATCATAACTAGTGCGAAATCACATGGTATTATATTTTTTGTACAATTAATTTTTTTTAAATAATATATTAATTCAAACACGAGAAACATGCGTTATTTTTTAATTATTTATACATATAAAAATTTTATTTTGAAAATTATTTTTAATTTAAGATATTTTTTTTTTAAAGATAATATATGAAAAACTGAAATATATATTATTGATGAAACAATTTTGGTAAAAAAAATAATTGTGTTAATTGTAAAAATATGTTTTCTTTTAAAAATAATAAACTATTATGATAAAATAATTTTATTTTTATTATTTATATTTTTATTACATTTTGAAAACAAGTGTGTGTATCACAATAATATTTGTCCAAACGCACGGATAACACATTAATACTGTGTGAACGTGCGAATAATCATATTAAAATTTGCACAAATATACGAGTTTAATATATAAAAAGTTAAAATATATATTATTGATGTAAAACAATTTTAATAAAATAATTTTTTTTCTATTAAAATAATGACTTTTTTTTTTAAATAATAATTTTTTAAAATAAAATAATTTTATTTTTCAAATTTATATTTTTATTATATTTTAAATACTACTCTTTAATTTTAAAGAACAATTATTAGTTGTTAAAAAATAATACGTCTCGTACTAAAACTCGTGGGAACCCACAAATTTGTTAGTAATTTTATATACAATAAAAATCAATATGTACTAAAGAATTTGTTTAGTCTGAGAGCAAAACTTACCCACTAATTGTATGATCACTAACTATATGATCATTGTTGTTGTTAGCCACCAACGGATAGTCCGTGCATCTGTAATCTGTTGAAATTAGTGGATTATGTCCTTGTCTAAGGCAAAATCACCTGAGGAGGTTGGACATGATGTGGCCTTGTTGAAGGTGAACTTGGATAAACTGAATGTATCTCTTTATATTTTTAGCATTCTATTTTCTTTCAATCATTTGATCAAATAGTTTTTCTAAAGGTAAAAGTTTTGAAAACCTAATTCAAACCCCCCATTTCTTGTGTTTTTCTCTACCTTCACTCATAATGCCCATCAAAAGCGCGAAAAACGGTCTTATGCGTATCCTCCGATGCAACACGGATCTAGTGATAACCGGAGCATAAATCTATTGGACAAAATAGTGGCAAAGTGTATTTCATCTAACAATTCATCAATTATAGATATGGGAAACCAGTCTCTTATTATAACAATGTTGAGTTCCTTATAGTCAATGCAAAAATGCCATGTACCATCCTTTTTTTAATTAGCAAAGCAGGGGAGGAAAAAGGGTTACTGCTAGGAATGATAGTGCCATCCTTTAGCATTTCTTGAATGATGGTAGTTAGATCCTCATTTTATGAGTGTGGGTAACAATACAATTTGACATTGATAGGTGGGGTATTTGGGAAAAGGTTAATATGATGATCACGAGGTCTATTTGGGGGAAGACTAGTTGGGGAGGTAAAAATGGGTTGGTAATGATGTAAAAGGTTAGAAATCTTAGGGTGAAAGTTAGGAGGTAAAATGGCTAGTGGAGACCAATCTGGTGCATTTGGGTTAGGGGTGAATCTAATGCTTGCGTGATCATTAAGTGGAAAGATGCAATTGATTCATTGTGGATGAGTTGACACAATTGGTGAAAGGACGTGTGAATAGGGTGGGATTTAGGGTCGCCTGTCAAGGTGATGGATTGATTATTGTGATAAATTGTAAAAACTTAAAAATTGATCAGCTTGAAAAAACCATTCAAGGGGATTTGAATCATCAAACAAAGCTAGTTCCAATTTAGAGGTGCGAAACGGAGGTAATGGGCAATATGAGGGATGTTTGGGTAAGGAACTTGAGGTATTAATGGTATGTTGTAGGGTGGAGATGTTGTAAAAGCAGATTGGAAAAATGGGTAGGGTGGTGGTGGTTGTGCCATTGTAGGTCTGGCTGCTGCAGTAACAGTAGAATGTGTGGGTGTTTGCGAAAAAATTGCAGAATTTCTAATTGGTGTGTTGGCAGGGGTAACAACACTGGAAACAGGGGTAGTAATCATAGGACTAGAAAAAGGAAGGTGAGTTATACATAAACTAGAAATTGTATGAACCGTGGGAAAATGAGGTTGTTCTCTTTGAGTTGTTATTTTGGTGAGCATGGACATGAGAGAATCATAGCGATCATTGGAGATTTGAGTTTCATTATCCATCTGCATGTGGATTTGTCCAAGCTGCTGATGTACATCGACTGAAGTTTTATCAAAACATTCATCCATTTGTTGTTGGGTTTGATTCATAGCGCTGTCAAGGTGAATGTGAGCGGTTTGAACGGTTGTTTGGACAAATTCTTCGATATTTCTCTAGAAAAAAGAGTTAGGAGATTTAGGGGGAACCATGAGAGCAAGAAATGAAAGCACAGTGATAGATTTTACTAAATTATTCTAAATCCAGGGTGCATAAGAAGATAAAACATAAAAATAACTTTTCTTCCCTTTATTGCAAACAACACTTACAATATATATATATAGTAGGGTTTTAACTACTAATTTGGGCCATGGGCCTCTTGATTTAAAAGGCAATACAATCCAAAACTTTAAGGTAATACTAAATACACTTCTAATTCATAATAAAATCTTTTAATAATAATGGTTTCTTTCTCACTCTAATAGGCCTCGGCAACATCCTAAGAAATTCACACTACTAAGATAATTAGTATTTTTTCATCTTAATGGCTACTAGGTAATGGCGTGAGGATCAATGTTTTCACATAATCATCAACAGTAAAAGTGCTTTTATCATCTCCATGTTGATAAATAACTTGAGCAGTTCTAGCCATGTTAAGAGAAGCTTTAATAACAGATAAGGGCAAGATTTTGGTCATGGCAAGACCATTGAGTTCTCGCCACAAGTTCCCTATTAGCAACCTTATGTGTTTCCTTCCTTCATTTTCATCTATAATATTATTCTCTCCCATGAAGCATTGTATGCTGCTAGCATTATCACCTCTTTCTTGTTCCTCCTAAACTTCAAAATAAGAAATATATTATTGATCTAAATTAAACTTAAAAGTTTTTTTTTTTGTGATCAGAGAGATACCGTTGATGTTCCTAAGTCATCCCATAGGCGAAGAATTTCTCCGGAGCAAGTGAAGAGTCTAGGATATGGTTTCAACATGGAAATGGTTTCCTTTGAGAAACCATCACCAATGAGGAAAGTAGCATGCACCAATGCCATACATGATCCAACAGAAATTGCTCCATTATCCAAATATGTCCTTAAACTTGGCACATGTCCACTATTGAACCATTTCGCTTCTTCCAAATATGCATCAAACATGTCCATCCACTACATAAATTAAACACAAGTCTCTAATTATAAAAATCATAAATGTTATAAAAATAGGTAAGGAATATTCATATTCTTACTGTTCTTTTTAAGTGAGAAACAACAGTTAGCCCATGTTCTTTTAGAATTTTATATGAAATTTCATTTGTAGTGTTATATAATGCCATATAGCATATCTTCATATACTCAGGAAGTTTCTCCATTGAATCAAGATCCCACCTGCAAAAAAAAAAATTAGTTTAACATTATATGTTTATTAGTTTCTTACAAATTATTTAGAGGCATACCTTTTGATTGCATCTGTGAAAAGAATAAGTTCATCTAATGTGCCATAATTGTCAAAGATATCATCAATAACATCCAAAATGCATATGGTTTTTGTAAGTTCAATACGACAATTTGAATGACTCGGTTCTGGAAAAACTCCCACTGTCCATAAGAAGCACTCTGTTGGTCTATCTCTTTCAAAACTTAGTTTCTCTATAAGTCCCAACTCTTTCCACCACCTATGAAAATCAAATAAAATTTCTGTAAATAGCATTTCTCGAAAACATATTCCTTATATTATGGTATAATCTTGTGATCATTAAGTTACCTGCATATTTCTGCTAATTCTCTTTGATGTAGTGATTGAATCATGTCAAAGTCTAACTTTGCCAACTCCATAAGAGCTGGTATTTGGTTAGTTGCATGGCTATATTCATCCATGTAGTTTCTAGCTTCTAGTCTTATCATTCTTAGATGCCTTGGAAGTGTTAATGATCTAACAATGTGCTTATAACCTATTTCAGGACTCATGTGTGAGATTAACTTATTTAGATGAGCCCTTGAAAATTCCATGGCTTTCTTTAATATTTGTTCATCTTCTGTCCCTAAATATGATGCCTCATATAGGCTCAACATACCCGAAATGTCTTTGGTGAGTGTCTCTTTGACATTGCCACTCTTGTCCAAAAAGTTTCTGAATATATCTGTAATTTTATATTAGCTTAATAAAATTCAAATCATATACATTAATTTGACCCAAAATAGAAATGTAACGTACCAGAAGATGTAGGCCAACCATTATGCCTAAGTAAACGAAATTGAAGAGATGTTGCAAAGAGGTTTGTAGAAGCATCCCAATCACATATCCTCTCAAGTTGTATATTGATCTCATCTTCAAAATGGTGGCTGATTCCTAGCCCTTGGATTGAGTCAATCATCTTCATTGTTTCAATAGGATCACTTGAGTTTAACAATGCTTCCCGGCTTCTTCTTTTGAGTTGCTCCAAACTTGTGTTCATGTCATCTTTCTCTAAATATGGCAACTATAAGACCAACAACATGAACTATTATTATTATTATTATTATTATTATTATTATTATTATTATTATTATTATTATTATTATTATTATTATTATTATTATTATTATTATTATTATTATTATTATTATTATTATTATTATTATTATTATTATTATTATTATTATTATTATTATTATTATTATTATTATTAATAATAAGAGGATATATGACGAGAGAGATTAGTAAATGCTACCTTATCATTAAAAGCAATGGACTTAGTCGAGAATGTACTAGGCATAATCCTTAAATTTGGATTTTGAAGCCATGAGATCCGTGAATGATTAGTGATAGTCGAAGAATGGCGACGAGCAAGTGAGTTTGTGAGATATGAAAGTCTAAGTTGAGTAGTAACAGCCATTGTATTGGACGAATTAATGCTCTTATCTCAGTTCCTTCTTATAGAGGCTATTGTAACACTATTTATTATACTCTTTTTTTTATTCTTTTTAATATAAAAAGGAGTAGATGCATAAAGACACAAAACAAACATTTAGACTCATACCAAACGTGTGGAAAATGTGTGGTATAGAAAGAATCGTACTCATACCAAACAAACACATATTTGGACTCTATCACACATGAGCAGACCCATATATGTCCTTTTTTCTCTTGTTAGTATATATATCCTTTTTGGACAGAACTTGGATTTTTACATTGAATTTCTTTTAGTTAAATTTGTTGGTGGACAAAGGAGAAAGAAATAAAAGACAAAAAGAATATATTAAATAACAGTTATGAAATAAGGAATAATGAATATATTGACCTATCTATTATTAGACTATTTATACATAAATATTGGGTATAATAAAATATTAAAATACTCTCTAACAGACTTAGTCAACAAGACATTATTAAAATATAAATATTTTCAACATCATCTCTTAATTTATATTTACACAAAACTGACAACACAAATTTCATCTCTCAAACGAAGAAATTGATCAGTCTTGAAAGCCTTTGTTAGAACGTCCGCCAGCTACTTCTGGGTGCTACAGTGCGCAACTTCTAATATTCCACTTTGAACCTGATTCCTCATAAAGTGATATTTAGTCTCAATATGCTTGCTTCTCCCATGCAGCACCGGGTCTTGACAAGATTAATTACAGACTTGTTATCAATCATCAACTTCAGAGACTTGTTTACCTCGATCTTCAGATCCTGCAGCAAGTTCAGAATCCACACAACTTGGCATGCAGTCAGAGCGCCTGCAATATATTCAACTTCACAGGTTGACAGCGCAACCACAAGTTGCTTCTTGGAATACCAAGAAATATGACCTCTTAGAAATTTGAATAAGTACCCAGAAGTACTTCTTCTGTCAACTATGTCTCCACACCAATCAGAGTCTGAATAACTCAGAAGATCTGATTCGGTCTTTCTTCCAGAAGGAAATAGCACTCCATACTTCAGAGTTCCCTTCACATATCTCACTACAAAAATATATGTCCCCAGCGACATATATTAGCGACGTGCTTATCACGTGGGTAGTAGCGACGTGATAACCACGTCGCTAATATATTTTAATGACATTTAATGGAAATTGGTGAACGTTTTTCAGAGGGAAGTTTGAAATTTTGTAGCGACGTGATAGCCACGTCGCTAAATTTTTGGGGGGAAAAATAATTTCGCTGCGCAGTGTTGGAGAGAGAATAGTATTTATGATTAGTTTGTAGCGACGTGATTATCACGTGGCAACGTTGCGACGTGACAGTCACGTCGCTACTAGAAGTTACATATGTTAACGTTTTGATTTACAGTAGCGTGCTTCTTCTTCTTCCTTTGCTTGCTTGCTATCAAACATTACAGCAACTCTCACAAACTCAAAATTGTTCCTCTCAAACCCAATTTCGCGAATTAATTTTCTTCCATTCCAATTTGTTGAAGAAATCTAAGGTATTCATATGATGTTAAATGTTTATTTCGTTTGTTCTTTATTTTTTATACTGGAATGAAGTATTTAATTAACATTGTTCGATTGTTCGTTATTATTTGTAGAGAAATTTGAAGAACACCAAGAACTAGAAGACGCAAATTTATTGAAGAAATTATATAGAGGTATTTATGCATTTTTTTTTAGATTTTATATGTATTATATAGATTAGATTTGTATATGTATTTTGTGGTTAGGAATATATGTATATACTGTTAGTAGTATAAAATTACTGATAATAAAAAAAATTTTAAAAACATATTTAATATATTTTTTGCATATGTAATTTGTATATGTAATTTGCATATTTTTTGCATATGTGATTTATATATTTTTTAGTAGTATATTTGTATATGTAATTTGCATATTTTTTAATAAGATATTTAATATATTTTTTAAAAAATTTTAGAAAACATAAATTTAATAACATATTTAATAACATGTTTTTTATAGATGTATATTGTATTTATTATAATAGTTTTATTTTTTTATTTATATGTTAAAGATATGGAAAAAAAATTATATATTAGAATAACAATTTATAAAAAACATAATTAAAAAAAGAATATATATATTATATTATTATTTTAATATTATTATTATATATATAATAATAAATAGTATGTATCTTACATTATTTGTTTTCTAATATTATTCTTGTATATATAATAAAAAGTAAATATGTTATATTATTGTTTTTTGATATTATTGTTATGTAATAAAAAAATATATATTTTATATTTGAATATTTATTTATATGTTAGTATATATATAAAAAAGCAAAATTTATATTTCTAAGAATAGTATTAAATAGTTTAAGAATATTTCTAATGAAAAAGACAATGATTGTATAAATGTGCAGTATGGAATATTATCGGTATTATCGCAGTTGGATGTACGATAGAACATATCCAGGAAGAAGTGGACTTAAACCCAATTTTATAGTAGGAGTTGATGGGTTTATTAAGTGGGCGTTTGCTCAGGATTGTTGTCGAAGCGAAGGAGGGGTTAGATGTCCCTGTCTTAAGTGTGAATGTAGACCAATAATTAGTGACCCAGAGGAAGTAACACGTCATCTGCATAGAAGGGGATTCATTGAAAATTATTGGGTTTGGACGTATAATGGTGAAGAACTACCGGTTAATGTACCAGAGACTAGCAACACGCATGCTTCAAGTAGTCGACCGGTTATGGAGTATGAGGAGAACTTTAATTTGATCGGTGACATGGTTGAGGATGCTTTTGGTGTGAACGTGACATATGATGAACCTGAAGATTTTGACGGGGAAGAGTTGCCGAATGAGGAAGCGCAAAGATTTTATCAATTATTGAACGAGATGAATACGCCGTTGTTTGAGGGGTCGTCAGACTCGAAGCTATCAATGTGTGTGAGATTATTGGCTGCCAAGTCAAATTGGAATGTTTCTGATCAATGTTTGGAACATTTTGCAAAAATGATGTTGGACTCCACCGCTACGAAAGACAATTTGCCTACAAGTTATTATGATGCAAAGAAGTGGGTGTCGAAGTTGGGTTTAAAAGTAAGAAAGATTGACTGTTGCATTAACGGTTGCATGTTGTTTTATGACAATGAGTTTGGTACTCAAGATGGATCGTTAGAGGAGTGTAAGTTTTGTAATAGTCCAAGATATCAAGTTCGCAGTAGAGCCGTTAACAGCAAGCAAAAGCGTGTAGCAGTAAAATCCATGTTTTATCTTCCTATAATACCAAGGTTAAAAAGAATGTTTGCTTCAATGCACAGTGCAAGTCAAATGACATGGCATCATACAAACCAAACAAGTTCTGGCACTATGCGACATCCATCTGATGGTGAGGCATGGAAGCACTTTGATCGGACACATCCAGATTTTGCTGCAGAACCTAGAAATGTCAGGCTTGGATTATGCTCTGATGGATTTGCCCCATACGTGCAAGCGTCAGGAAGTGCGTACTCTTGTTGGCCAGTTATTGTAACACCTTACAACCTCCCTCCTGAGATGTGCATGACAAAACCATACATGTTTTTGACGTGTGTTATTCCAGGCCCGCACAGTCCAAAAGCCGGAATTGATGTGTACTTACAACCTTTAATTGATGATTTGAAGAAGATGTGGATTGGAGAATGGACTTATGATATATCCCGTAAACAGAACTTCACATTACGAGCTGCCTTGATGTGGACCGTTAATGACTTTCCAGCATATGGCATGTTGTCTGGTTGGGGTACGCATGGAAAAATGGGTTGTCCGCATTGCATGGGATACACCAAAGCATTTACGTTGGATAAAGGTGGGAAAAGCTCATGGTTTGACTGTCACCGCAGATTCCTACCAACAAATCACCCGTATAGAAGAAACAAGACAAATTTTAAAAAAGATGTACGAGAGAAAGATTTGCCTCCGCCTCGATTGCCACCAGGGGTTATATGGAACCAAGTATGTGAACTACCAAAATTTACAGATACTGGGAAAGCATGCCGAATTGAAGGATACGGCGTCACCCACAATTGGACAAAAAGAAGTATATTTTGGGATCTTCCGTATTGGAAAGATAATTTGTTGCGCCATAATCTTGATGTTATGCATATTGAGAAGAATTTTTTTGATAATGTATTTAACACAGTGATGGATGTGACAGGAAAAACAAAAGATAATGAGAAGGCCAGACAAGACATGGGAATTTGGTGTAATCGAAGAGAGTTGGAGTTGAAGCCTCAACCGAATGGAAAATTATTAAAACCCAAGGCTTGTTTCAGTCTGACTTCCCAAGAAGCTAAAGCGGTTTGTAGATGGTTAAAAGAATTGAGAATGCCCGATGGGTATTCATCAAATTTAGCAAGGTGTGCTGACCCTAACACTGGAAAATTACATGGTATGAAAAGTCATGATTGTCACATTTTTATGGAACAGTTGCTACCAATTGCATTTGGATCGCTACCCAAACATGTTCTTGACCCACTAACTGAAATTAGTCAATTTTTTAGAGATATTTGTGCGTCAGCTTTAAAAGTGGAAGACATCATTAAGTTGGACCAAAACATTGCACTCATTCTTTGTAAGTTGGAACAAGTATTTCCGCCTGGTTTCTTTGACTCCATGGAACATTTACCTGTGCATCTTGCATATGAAGCTTATCTTGGTGGACCTGTTCAATATAGGTGGATGTATCCGTTTGAAAGGTTCATGGGTGATTCAAAGAGATCGGTAAAAAATAAAGCTAGAGTAGAAGGATCTATATGTGCACATTACTTGCATCGGGAAACATCACATTTTTGCAGTCACTATTTCAATCACTTGATGTTAACTCCTAGAATCATACGGAATCCTGTAAATGTCAATCAGAGGAGTCAATTCACCTTATCAGTCTTTGCGCTACCAGGTCGACCTTCTGGAAAGAAGGGTGTGCATTGGTTGACCCAAAAAGAAATG